TTTAGTTACTTGGAAACAATTTGATCCTTTCAGGTCTCATTTTTAAGACTGTTAGACAAGAGCAGAGCAGCACTTAGTCTAGACTGATTACGCCCCATTACTGAGGCAAAACCCTTTGAAGTGCTCTATCCAATGCCCCATAAATTATGAAGTTTTCCAGTCCAGCTGGTAGAAAAAGACACTATTCTTGGTCTTGAATGAGTCAGGTACTGTTCCTTCAAATCTTTTCAGATGTTTATTTCCGTATCTTCCAGTAGTTTCTCAAGGAGGTCCCTTTGCAGATACCTGGAGTTCTTTCTCTATTCTCTTTGGTACTCAGCCTTGCACTCTAACCATCTTGGCCTACCCAGATTCTCAGCTATTAGTGTATTTTATGTGTGGCCCAAGACAATTCTTATTCCAATGTGGCCCAGGGAAGCCAAAAGACTGGACACCTCAATCTTTTGAAGGGTCTATTGGAAGGCTAAGATTGTAAATAGTGGTTAATTTCAGCGAATTTCAGCTCTCTGATCAGCAGCAGCTACCCATTCTCACCCTCCAGCCCCCTGACAAGCAGCTATGCATGCACTCTTGTTTTAAGTCTTAATTTATAAAGGTGACAGAGAGGACATGGAGAGATCAATGCCATTGAAAAGAAAGTTTAATGTTACAATTCTCCCCAGAAATGAGGGTCATGGCATGCCACAGGGGGCCACGTGAAACTCTGTCACGAGCAGAGACCACAAAGCAGAGAAAGGACCTGAGACTATGCCTTTATTGCTAAGTAAGTGGGAAGGATCTAGGTGGGGACATCCCCTATAGGGCATAAAGCAAAAACAGGCATTCTATGGTTGTCACCAGGAAGTCTGTGATATGAGGTTTGTGCACCCACAAGACAGGGCTTAAAAGGATGATGTAAACAACTTTAGCCTTTAGTTTATCCCTGTAATTAATACATGCCAAATAGGCAAACACAAAATCTAAACACAGAATAGTTCCAGGAGCAGCTTGGCTATGCACACATTGAGGAACACCTTGCATAAAACTTACAGGAAATACCTGTCTTTCAAACATTGGAATAATCTGTTCTGACTACCTTTGCTGCTTCCAATAAGAAAGCCAAAGACACAGGTGGCAGTCATTGTTGCAAGCCCCTCTCCCTCTGGCTAAAGTGACTTCCAGCAGATTTAAAATGCCAGCACCTTTCCCCCATGCTTTTACTTTTCTTTTTTACCCTTTCGGGAAGCCAGACATCTAAGGACTGAGACATTCAAACACAATGGCTTCCAGAGTTATCACATTATTATTCAAATGCCTAATTTTCAACATAAAAATTACAAGGCACACAAAGAAACAGGAAAGTACAGCCCATTCAAAGGAAAAAAATCAAGAGAAACCATCCCTAAGAAAGACTAGATGGTTGGCCTCATAGACAAAGACTTTAAAATAACTATCTTAAAGATTCTCAGATAACTAAAGAAAGGTGTAGAGTAAGTGAGGAAAATGACATATGAACAAAATTGGAAATATAAATAGAGACAGAAAACAAAAGGAGACTAGAAATTCTGGAGCTGAAAAGTACAACAATGAAATGAAAAACTCACTAGAGGAATTAAAAGCAGTTTTAAGCAGGCAAAAGAGAATCAGCAAGCATGAATATAGGAAAATGAAATATACACATACAATGGAATATGATTCCCTTGGAAAAGAAGGAAATTCTGATATATGCTACAATATAGATAAACCTTCAGGACATTATGCTGAGTGAAATAAGCCAGTCATTTTAAAAAATACTGCGTAACTCCATTTATATGAAGTACCTAGAGTTGTCAAAATCACAGAGACAGAAAGTAGAATTGTGGTTGCTAGGGGTTCGGGGGAGGGGAGAATAGGGTTGAATGGGTATAGTGTTCAGTTTTATAAGCTGAATAGTGATGGATTATCTACTTTTAAGGTTTTTATACTTAGAACTAAAAATAATTTCAGTCAACATGGGGTTGTCTATAGAAGTCCCACCAAAGAATGGTATGAATACTTGAAATGAATAGTTCTAGTCTACTGCAATAAGCACAAAGAACACATTTTCAGGAAAGCATACGAGGACCCAACAGGCTGGAATATTTCCAAGTAAAAATTCCAAAGATTAGCTTGTGCGCATGCTGAACTAACACGGCAAAATGATCTTCAAACAACTAAAACGTTTCAATTTGGTATTTCAGAATTGTCAGTTCATACAGGAAAAAAATCAGGGAACTATTAAAAGCCAATGTTGCCTGGCAAAATTGAAGAGTACAAGTTCCTAAAAAAGGCTGCACCACAATACTGCCTAGAACTGAAAGAAAAATAAAAGTGTGTTTGTGTGTATGAGTGTGTCCATATACATACGCAGACACATACATACACACATATGCATATATATTTATCTTTGACATAGAAATAATTTTTTTTTTTTTTTTGAGACAGGGTTTCACTCTGTTGCCCAGGCTGGAGTGCAGTGGTGTGATCATGGCTCACTGCAGCCTCAAATTCCCCAGCTCAAGCAATTCTCCCATCTCAGCCTCCTGAGTAGCTGCGACTACAGGTGCACACCACCACGCCCAGCTAATTTTTGTAGAGACAGGGGTCTCCTCATGTTGCCCAGGCTGGTCCTGAACTCCTGGACTCAAGTGATCCACCCACCTTGTTCTCCCAAAGTGCTAGGATTACCAGCATGAGCCATCATGCCCAGCCAATTCCATTTTTATTAGTACTTTCCACAGCTGCACCACTGAAGAAGGGCTTTTATTACCAGAGCCTCCTGCTGTCGCCCAGGCTGGAGTGCAGTGGTGCGATCTCAGCTCACTGTAAGCTCCGCCTCCCGGGTTCATGCCATTCTCCTGCCTCAGCCTCCCCAGCAGCTGGGACTACACACGCCCGCCACCATGCCTGGCTAATTTTTTGTATTTTTAGTAGAGATGGGGTTTCACTATGTTAGCAAGGATGGTCTGATCTCCTGACCTCGTGATCCACCCACCTCGGCCTCCCAAAGTGCTGGGATTATAGGCGCAAGCCACCGTGCCCGGCCATCGAAGAAGGGCTTTTAAATTACAGCCTGTAACTTGTTAATCACTTAGAAATAAAACATGAAAACCAAAAAGGAATCAGTTGACTTTAAGTGCAAAACAAGGAATTCCAAAGAGCAATTTAATAAAACTGTCTACTTTCATAGCTGTAAAAGGCAATTAAGTTCCAATCTATGTAAGAATTTGATCCCAAAATAAAAGTTTGAAGTGTATCAAATCCATTCCTTTGATAATCATTTTCTACCATGTAGGAAGCACTGTTCTAGGTGGTAAGTCTCAAAGTCCTTATTCTCTTGGTGCTTACATTCTAGAGAGAAAGACAGACTAAAACAATACGTATGAAATAAATGTTAGATAACAGTAAGATTAACAGAGGAACACATGGAGAGCATAGGGGGCTGCAATTTTAAGAGTCGTAGAATGTTTCCTACATTGTTAAAGTGAGTTCAAAAGTGCATCACTTCTAATGAGGAAAACTGAAATCGGTTAGCAAGATAAACATCAAAGATTAAATGAAATGGCCGGGAGCAGTGGCTCACGCCTATAATCCAAGCACTTTGGGAGGCTGAGGCGGGCATATCACCTGAGGTAAAGAATTCGGTATCAGCCTGGCCAACATGGTGAAACCCATCTCTACTAAAAATACAAAAACTAGTGAGGCGTGGTGGCAGCTGCCTATAGTCCCAGCTACTCAGGAGGCTGAGGCAGGAGAATCGCTTGAACCCGGGAGATGGAGGCTACAGTCAGCTGAGATCTCGCCATTGCACTCCAGCCTGAGTGACAAGAAACTTCATTTCAAAAAAAAAAAAATTAAATTAACCTATTTTTAACATTTTTTAAATCACTATTTCATTATAGCTTTATTATTTTTAAAATTTCTAAGGAGGTTTATGATCCAAAAGAGTTGGGAAGTACTGTTATATTATTATTATCTTTAAATTTTTTCTGGCTACTCTGGGCACACTGTCTATGGGGTAGTCCTGCACCACAAGTGGCAGTAAAAAAATTTTTCTTTATATTTTAAAATTTGTACCTATGGATTATATTGAAATTATATTATTATTAAACTGACCTTGGACCTTATGTGGCTCAGACTCTAGATCAGCAGTTCTCACAGAACGAGGAGCCCTTTTGTCACTAAGGGGAACATCTGGCAATGCCTGGAGACATTTTTGGTTGCCATAAATGGGAAGGAGGGTGCCGCTGGCATCCGGTGGGTAGAGGCTGCCGAACTTAAAATTCACAAGACAGCCCTCCACATCAAAGAAGTATCCCACCCCACAAGCTGCAGCCGAAAAATTCTAGGTTAGGCAGACACATGGCGAACACCAACGGTAAGGTGGAGGCCCTCTATAGAGAAGCACCATTCACGCTCTGGGATCAGAGTGGAGGGCCTGAGTGCGGAGAGGAGTGAAAGAGCAGGTGGAGTTTCAACTCGGCCTGAAGGAAAGGTAAGGATGAAGAGTGAGGATTTCAGAAGGATGGAACAGCCTGACCAAAGGGTCGGACACGTTGGCTTGCAGCGTAAGCAGGGATTAGCCGGCTTCTCATGGGCTGTGGTTAGTCTCTTTTTGTATAAAATTACTCAATTTCCAAGTTATCAAATTTACTTAGGGCAAAACCACCATACTATAATTTCCACATTCATTCTTGTGTGAAATTAGGTTAAGACAGTGTGACCCAGCGGAAAGAGCATTAACCTAGGAGCCATCCCAGACTCCAGGAAACCGCAGGAGAGCAAGACTCCCTCTACGAATGGGTAAGGCCTAGATATTCTCCAAATACTTTTTATAGATTGCTGTATGCTTCTACCCTTAATCCAATTTACGTACAGAAAAGGACCAAAGATTCTCTTTTCATATTTGAGTCCCCCTGCCTCCAACAGCTCCTTCCTTATTGCTTTCCAGAATTCCATTTAACCTGTTTTTAAATTAACTTTAAAAAGGAGGTAACGCTTACAGTGAAATGCAGGTCGTAGGTGTGCAGTGCGACGTTGTGATGTACACCGCGTGTAACCACAACCCCCATCAGCAAGGCCTTCCTGTCTGACACGTGGCTCCCTCCGGGATCGTCCCAGCGCTTCTTCTGCACCTCCGAAGCTACTGGCTTCGGAGTAAAGGCAGCAGCAGTGAAGCCGTTTCGCAGTAAAGCCGCCCTCGTCCTAGTCTACTCCACCTCGCAGCCCCCGCACCCGGCAGGGTGCCCGCCTCAGAAGCCCGGGCGACAGGGCCCGCCCTCCAGGAGCGGACAGTGAAGCCTGGTCGGGTATTTCGCCAAATCCCTCCGCGAACTTCTGAGAGCAAAGATGGAAAGGACCGCAGGCCGAGTCCTGTTTCTACGCGGAAGGAAGGCCTCCACGCGCAGCCGCAGCCTAAGGGTTCACGTCCCCCTCAGCACCAAGGCCGCCTGAGGCCCGGGAGCCAACGTGCGCGGCCCAGGACGCGGCCCCTTCAGCGACCCGGACACGAGGCCCGACCGCGCCCAACCAGCAACCAGGACCCATTCTCAGGCCGGCGCCAGCTCCTTCCCTCAGGCATCCGCCAGCCACCGCTAACTAAACTCTTCCACTACCACCGCCCTGGAAAACAGGTGAGAAAGACACACACCAAAGGCACCTAACCCAGTCCAAAACCCCTCAGCGGCGCGCACGCCGGAACCCGCCACTCACCAGCCGCGCGTGCGCAGTCGCCCAGACTCGCCGTGGGCAGTGGGAGGGGCTGGCCAGAGTCGCGCTCGCGCAGGCGCAGACCCTCCCGCCCAGGCGCTTGCGCAAGACAGGCCATCTCCCGGCAGCGTCTCAATCTCGCGTTTACAATCCTGGGGGTTGTCTCCATCCTGGAGTCGTTCCTTCACTTGTCTCATCAGCTGCCTCCAAGAATGGTGGCAAGAGATATTTAAGGCCCTCACAGGGCGCGGTGGCTCACGCCTGTAATCCCAACACTTTGGGAGGCCGAGGCGGGCGGATCACCTGAGGCCAGGAGTTCGAGACCAGCCTCACCAACATGGTGAAACGTCCTCTCTACTAAAAATACAAAACTTAGCTGGGCGTGGCGGCGTGCGCCTTAATCCCAGCTACCCAGGAGGCTGAGGCGGGAGACTCGCTGGAACCCGGGAGGCAGAAGCCTCACTGAGCCGAGATCACGCCGCAGCTACTCCAGCCTGGGCGACAGAGCAAGGCTCCGCCTAAAAAAACAAAAAAAGGAATTAAGATCCTAATTAAAGTTAAACCCACTGTTTTGCACTGAGTCACGTAGGTTTTCAAAGTCAAGGCTTCATTGGTCGATTGCTCAGTCTTTTAATCAAATCGTTGACTTTAAATGTTGACATCAAATTGAGGCTTTGGTAAAATTTAAGGGATTGGCGGTGCGGGGAGGGGAACCTTTAAAACTCGTTAGTCTTTCAGGGTCTTCAGTGTTGAGTCCGTTGGTCAATATATATATTTAGACATCTAGCACCGTAAGTACGTACGATTTTCGTCAACAACACCTTAATTATCTGGCACATACAGGCACTGATTATTAAAAGGTTCCCTTACGTTTTAGCAGTTACCAAATTATAAGTGATACAAAGTATTTGTTTTCAATTCCCCAAGAAATCAATCTGTATTATGCTCCTACCTCCCTTTCCTTCATTTTCTTTACCAATTTCATGATCTTGCTGAATTTTATATATTCTGCTGAGCAATGTGAAAATCCTTTCTGGTATAAGGTAAGGATATAAACTGTTCAGCTGGCAAATGATGCTATTCAGTAAGTAGTTCATGAAACACTAGGTTTATAACTTTGGATGTACCGTAATTTCCATTTTAAGAACTATTTCCAGTTTATAATAACCCATGCTACATTTTGACTTTGTTTTGAATTGATAACAAGTCTATTAACCAAATATTTCAAGATCAGGTGTATTCTGGAAAAGGAACAGGAAGAAAATATGTTTTAAAAAAAAAAAAAACTAAAATAAATTAACACAGCTTGGCACGGTGGCTCACGCCTGTAATCCCAGCACTCTGGGAGGCTGAGGCGGGCGGATCATGAGGTCAGGAGATCGAGACCATCGTGGCAAACACGGTGAAACCCCGTCTCTACTAAAAATACAAAAAAATTAGCCCAGGCGAGGTGGCGGCGCCTGTAGTACCAGCTACTCAGGAGGCTGAGGCAGGAGAATGGCATGAACCCGGGAGGCGGAGCTTGCAGTGAGCGGACATCGTGCCACTGCACTCCAGCCTGGGCAACAAAGTGAGACTCTGTCTCAAAAAAAAAAAAGGAAATTAACACAAACTGAGAAACAATAACCAACTTTTATGAGTGCATTTTTTATGGAGGTGGTGTTCAATAAACAAGAGACTGCCTCAGCTTATAACTACTTTCAACAGAAGTTTACATTCAGTCGAGTCTGAAAGAGTAGATCATTTTCTTTCAAAGCTGACATTGCTTTAATAGCATATGACATGTTATCTTCATGTATTTTACTATATACTATTTTTACTATTAAAGTGACCGTAATGTCAAAGAGTTTTTTATACCTTCACTAGACCTCATTGCTCAGACAGCATGACAGTAATACAGTAAGATTAATATTTTCCTGGTGAAACCTGTGCACTGTAATTTAATGGTTTTTGCAAATCATAAACATGTAAAATATTAAAGGAGTACAGTCTCATTAAAGGGAAAATTACTTGTCCAGTTAAATTGGACATGAAGGATGTCTTCAATTTTAATTCAGGAATTATTCCTTTTGTGTATTCACCAGTGATTTTTGTTCATATTGCTTCTCTTCAGAAATGGTGCAAAAAAAGAAAGTAAACCAGACTCGGGGCCAGGTGCAGGGCTTACGCCAGTAATCCCAGCACTTTAGGAGGCCGAGGTGGGCAGATTACCTGAGGTCAGGAGTTTGAGACCAACCTGGTCAACATGGCGAAACTCCATCTCTACTAAAAATACAAAAATTAGCCGGGTGTGATGGCACACACCTGTATTTCCAGCTACTTGGGAGGCTGAGGCAGGAGAATCGCTTACACCTGCAAGGTGGAGGTTGCAGCGAGTCAAGATCATGCCACTGCACTCCAACCTGGGTGACAGAGGAAGTCTGTCTCAAAAAAAAACAAAAACCACACCAGACTGTTTTTCTGAAAACAATAACAAACAAATTACCTGTAATTACAAAAACAGATTCACGTGTTTTTCTTCCATTGAGTGCTTTATCACAGTTATTCAAATTATCCTAAGCATGTTGCAAAGGATATTGCTTAGATTTCTAGTCCTATAAGGTACTTTGAGAAAAGACTGTATAAAGTAAAAATCAGGAAAATGTGGTTAAACTCTTCTTCTGAGTTTCACAATAGGCATTAATGTATTAAAGCCTTCAACTTAATGCACTGAAGAAACCCGTTTTATCAAAACATATTTAATAACAATTATTTTTAAGAATTACTAAGGCATGAAACTCACTTTGGGAATCACTGTTAGGATTTTTTCATTGTTGTAGAAATAATAGGTGCATATTCAGCAGAAAATAAAATCCTTGTTGCTGTGGTTTGAATAGCTCCCTTGCAAAACTCAATTGTTGCCAATGTGCCAGTATGAAGAGGTGAGGCTTTTAAGAGGTGATTAGGCCAAGAGAGTTCCTCCCTAATGAATGAAATTAGGTCCCATTACAAAGGGGCTTGAAGGAGGGAGTTGATTCTCTCTTGCCAGTATCCGGTGAGGGCTTTCTTGCCTCTTCCACATGATGGAAGGCAAAGGGCAGCCTCCAGAAATGACAGAATAAGTTTCTGTTCTTTAGTCTCAGGTATTGTAACAGCATCAAACAGACTAAGATAGTTGACTTAAATAGAACAGACTAAGATAGTTGACATAAATAGATCCATTTTCTCATTAAAAAAAGATACAGTAAATAAATATGGTGAATTCTACCCCAATATCCCTAGGGTGGTTGTGGCTAGGGCTACAACGTAGTATCATATGAAGATATTACAGCATGTATTTAAAAGCAATTGACTATTAGGTATCAGACTTAGTGTTAAGATACGTTTATCTAATAAAATGAAATGTGTTTTCAGAAATCATCTTTAAATACAATGGAATTTATTGAACATCTACTATTGTATTTTATCCATCACTTTTAAATTTTTTCTCTGGAACACTTATAAGCTCATGGTATGGATAACAGACCTGTGGAAATTAATGTAAGCCCTATGTAGCTTAGTTAGAGATTGAATCCAGGTCTGCCTCTACCCTGCAGTCTACCAGTTCAACTAGCTTTACCAGGTAAGTCCTTAGAAATAACCGTAACATCCAGGGCAGTGCAGTTATAAACAGGTGTACAAATAAGAAGTTCCACTACTCAATATATCTTGGGCTTTCTTAAAGGAGTATTTGAAGCCTAAGATGGTAAAGTAGGCAGAAATGAACATTATCAAAACAAGAACAAAACTGCTCACTACTATGGGAATAAAATGTTTAGCAGATCCTATTTGTTTCTGTTCATTCATCATCTCTGGGAAACATCAATGACTTACCTCAGTTCACTCTCATGCTATATATTAAAAAAAATTTACAGGGACGCTCAGTAGGAGGTTGAATTATACGCCAGAACTGAGACAGGATGCTGCCGGGGGTGCTGTGTGGAATTTCCCAGCAAGATTATTTCATTTATTTCACCAAATATACCATTTCCACTTAGTTTTAAAAGAAGTCAAACTGAATTGCCATTTGAGATTAGATAGAATGCACAAGACCCGATCTGAGATCCTACGTTTAAAAAAACAAAGGCGGCCGGGCGCGGTGGCTCCCGCCTGTAATCCCAGCACTTGGGGAGGCCGAGACGAGCGGATCACGAGGTCAGGAGATCGAGACCATCCTGGCGAACACGGTGAAACCGTCTCTACTAAAAATACAAAAAATTAGCCGGGCGTGGAGGGGGCGCCTGTGGTCCCAGCTACTCGGGAGGCTGAGGCCGGAGAATGGCGGGAACCCGGGAGGCGGAGCTTGCAGTGAGCTGAGATTGCGCCACTCACTCCAGCCTGGGCGACACAGTGAGACTCCGTCTCAAAAAACAAACAAACAAAACTGTCTTATAATCTAATCAGCCAGTCAAAGGCATCACTCATAAGCAACCAAACTGTATTTTTGGAGAGCCCCATTAAAGATATCTTTTAAAAAAGCAGTTACAGATTTTTATATATTTGGGACCTTTGAAATCATCTGTGGCTCTCAAACGACAGATGATTAGCTTGTGTCTATGGCCCCACACTTGGTAATGAAAGAAAGGAAACAAAAATACACTCTAATTGGTTTTCTTAAACAACTTTTCTTTATCCACCTTTGGAGGGGAATAAATCTCAATATAACCTAAATAACAACATTACAAATCAAAGAATATTCAAAGCAAATTCAGGTTAAAAATGAACATTTTAAAAATGCATTTTCTTTAAAAATTAACTTTTCACTTCATATGTTTACAAGATTTAACACTAGGCAAAGGGTGGATCTGTCTAGCACACCATAAGATGGTAATTCACCACTTTCCCTGAAAGGCCAAAAAGAATGACTCAAACTGCTAAAAGTATTTACTAAATATGCACCAAAGATAATCACTTAACTGTGAAATTGTTTTTAAGGCTGTGGGCTGAGATAAATATTATAAAATATAGACAAAATTGTT